CTCTTTAAAAAAAAAAAAAAAAAAAAAAAAAAAAAATATTGAGACATACTATTAGACATCAGTAATAAAAATAAATATGTTCCTGGTGCAGCAGCATACAAGCTAATGAAATACTTCAGAATAAAGCTCAATCATATATAGAAAGTTAATAATGAATTGAGAAATAAATGTTGGAAAAACTTGCTTACTCTAAGAAGAATTAAGGAGTCTCCCATCTTAAAAAAGTTAAACTAAAAATAACTATAAGGCAAACAAAAGAAAAAGCAGAGAAAGCCTTTGTAAAATTCTGATAGAAATGATTTCTGAAATGAGATTCAAAATGCATAAATCATAACATGAAGAATTGACAGACTTAAAAATTTTTGTTTTAACAAAGTATAGCATAAATAAAATTAATACATGGATGACAAACTTGGTAGAGGATATATGCAATGTCAAAAATGGGCAAGAGACTAATAACTAGGATATACAAGGACCTCTTGCAAATCGAAAACTAAATAAATGGCAGGAAATTCAATAAAAAAAAGCAAACAAATCACAAAATTAGCAACTCAGTTGACTAACAAGTACATGAAGAGATGCTCAAAACTCAATAAGTAATCACAGAAGTGTTTATTAAAGCAAAACAAAATACACAAAATAGCACTTCATAGTTACCACTTTAGCAAATATTTTAAAACATTACTGGTAACAACATGAAGGAAACAAAACAATACGAGTTATTGGGGACAATATGAGGGAAACAGGACTCTTGTAATGCGCCAAGGGGAATGTAAACTGTGACAGTGATGCTGGGCAGTATTCTGGCAGTACTTGGTGATACTAGGTTTATGTGTATACCCTATGATTTCTTAGTCCACTCCTGCAAACATTCCCCAGAGATACTTTTACATAGGTCTAAAGAGGGTAAGGACATTCATTATACTAACATTAGGGTCTCTGGAACAACCAATGAATTATCACTAGAGAGAGGGGTCTGTAAACATGGTGGATCCACACCATGGATTATGCTGTAGGTAAAAGCCACCAATTACCTATAAATACAGCCATATGAATAACATTAATAAAATCACCACTGAAAGAAAAAATTTTTAAAAATGAAATCTATAATAGTACATTATCATCTTGTAATTAAAAAGTATATACATAAAATGATACTGTATAATTTATTAAGGTATACACATATCTAAGATGTATCAAATACATCACTGGGGTGGGAACAGGGTAAACACTACAAAGGAGAAAAGTAGTAAAGTAAAACAAGAACAACATTGCACACCACTGATGATAAAGTGATAGAAATTGATTAGAAGTTTGAATGGCTCAACTTCCTATACTTGGAGGTCTCTCCTAAAAGAGCTCACCTTGACTAGGTGCAGTGGTGTACACCTATAATTCCAGCAATCTGGGAGGCTGAGGTAAGAGGATCCCAAGTTCAAAGTCAGCCTCAGCAACTTAGTGAGACCCTATCTCAAAATAAAAAAGGGCTGGGTAGGTAGTTCAATGGTAAAGCACTCTTGGGTTCAATCCTCAGTAACAAGGGGCAAAACAAAACAAAAATTCACCCTGCTTACAAATCAAGAAACCAAGAAACTAAGTTATAATAATATAAATTAACTTGAAGATGAAGGAAGTGCTCAGTCAGCCTTCTATTAGTAACACTAACCCATCTTAGTTTTATCTAAGGAAGTATTTATTTTCATGTAATTTTCCAGCGTCTCAACACGCATATACCTGGAAAGATAAGAGAATTTGTATATCCTTCCACACGAGTCCTTGTAGTTCATTCAGGATATATTTGATTTCCTTTCAATCATTCCAAGAAGAATCAGCATGACCAAGCAAAGCAGGTTCCAAAGGCAGGAAGCAGAAGCAATAATGATGCTATGAAAGTACCTTTCTGAACAGTCTCTTTAGTTGTTGTAAGATCTTGGGGCAAACCTTCAATGTAAGTGGTTGGCAACAAATCAGCTGAGATAGGATGACCTTGTAGCTTTTGCAGTTTCTCTTGTACAGCACTGGTCAGATCTACATAAGCTTCATCGATGCTAGCACGTTCAATCACAGCAAAACGAGACATTACCTCCATCACTTCAACACTGGCTTCCCGGTACCTAAAAAGTATAAGGATCATATGTGTAGACAATAAATAGAGGTGACCTGGAGACTGTCAAGGCCCATCCTCTCCCTCTCAAAATGAATATAATAAAGAGACAACTGGCTTAACAAAGAATAAACAGTAACCCAACTAAATGGAGTCAATGGCAGGCGCACGACAGAAGAAAAGAAAAAGAAGAACCATGGAGGTAAACATTTTTTTGTGCAAACCAAGATAGAAAGCACAAACTTAGGGCTGGGGTTGTGGCTCAGTGGTAAAGAACTTGCCTAGCATGTGTGAGGCACCAGGTTCAATCCTTAGCACCACATAAAAGTAAATAAATGAAATAAAGGTATTATGTCCATCTACAACTAAATATATATGTATGTATATATATAAGCATGTACTTTTCTACATTACAAGGATCTCTTTAAAAAGGAAAAAATGGCTCACAGTAGAAAATATTTTACTACAATCATCTATTTCTTTTATTATTTTCACATATTTCATGAAGTCTTTTGCTTCTAATTCTGTCTTCAAATAAGAGGTAACCTACAGGGAAAATTAAACTGAACATACTAGAGTAGCTGGTCCTTCTTAGGATAGCATTTCTAACTAAAATCACTTCTGCAAATACTAACATTCAAATTATCAAGTTAAAGGTAAGTGTCTTGAATCTGGTGATGCATCTGGGAGACAGACAACCTTCCAAAGGGGATATCAAATTCATCATATATCTTCTATTTAAACCATAAGCAGCTGGGTATAGTGGAACTCACTTGTAATCCCAGCAACTCAAGAGGTTGAGGCTGGAGAATTGCAAGTTCAAGGCCAGCCTCAGAAACTCAGCAAGACCCTGTCTAAGAAAGGAGCAGGCACAGTAGTGAATGTCTATAATCCCAGTAACTCAGGAGGCTGAGGCACAAAGCATCTCAGTGAGACCTTGTCTCTAAGTAAAATACAAAATAAGGCTGGAGATGTGGCTCAGTGGTCAGTGCCCCTGAGTTCAATTCCCTGGTAACTACCCCACCACAAAAAAAGAAAGGACTGGGAAATATGGGGATATTGCTCAATGGTTCAATCCCCAGTACTAAAAGAAAAAAATATACATCATAAAGGCTGGGGGAACATAATTAAGCTCAAACACTCTTGGGTTTAATCTCCAGTACCACACAACAAATCAAAATATTTTTAAAATTTCAGTTCTTATTAACTCTCTGATCTGTACAGATCTTTCTCCTAAACTTTTAAATTGGCCATTTCTCATTACTTGATAAATTTCAAAAGTAAATGATCACATTTAAATCTGGTGGAATGTGGCTTTTCCAAATTACACTTTGAAGTCAACAATGCATATTTCAAGGAAATTACACTTTGTACATCAGCATAAAATTCTATTCAATGTAATTTAATAGCTTTAGCTGAATTAATTCTGCTGTAGTGTTAAAGTACTACTCTTCAATCAAATCATTCTTCTTTTCAGGCAATAACTCTGATGTGAATGTGGTGGGGTTAGCAGGCGATTCTACCTTCAGACTTCTAATTCATAGGTGAATTCAGAATATGTCAGATTCCAAGTCAGAGTATGATCCCTATCTATATCATGTTGTACAATAACTATAATATACTGTGAGAATGTGGTTACTAAAACTTGAAATAATAGATGTGAACCCTCAATCTTCTACTTATGTAGGTGAACTTAAAATTATTTAACTTCTCTAAACCTGATCCCTTACCTGTCAACACAAAGTAATACTAGCGCCTACTTTATAAATGAAATTTAAAAGAGATTTCACCTATAAAGAACTTAACTCAGTGCCTGGAATATGAAAAATATTCAATATCTATTAGTTATTAAGATTATTATAATGGTTGGGGGCTTGGGCCTAACCCTTGTTTAAGCTAAAGGTCTAAACTCTGGGAAAGATAGCTCAATTAAAAAACAAGATAGTGGGACTAGGGCTGTGGCTCAGTGGTGCTGCATTTGCCTGGCATGTGTAAAGCACTGGGTTTGGGTCTCAGCACATGTAAATAAATAAAGATCAATCAACAACTAAAATATGTAAATAAAAATATAAAATATATATAAATTATATATATATATTTTATATTTTTATATATATATATATAAATAAAACAACAACAAGATAGTAGTCTCCTTTCAGTTGGTTTTCCGGCAAGTAATAATAATAAAAAAAAAAAACTCAACAATTCTAGAAATTGCACTAAAATATCAAGTCTGACCCAGCCTTTCTTGGAAAAGCTATTAGGTTTATAGGCCTGCTAATCACTTCAAACACTTTGGACTTTTGGCCAATAATATAGGAATTGGTAGTAAGTTTTAATTATAATAAAACAGTTTTTAAATAATTAAAGGAATGAAATGGGTATCAAAAGACAGCAACTATTTTAAGTAATAATGGTTCTGAACTATTAATAATATACAATATCAAAATCTATTTTCATTCAGAGACAAGATGCTAACCACAGGAAACTTTTTTCAGATATTATTTACACAAAACAAATTTAAACACAAGTTGGGTGCAGTGGCTCACATCCATAATCTCAGAGATTTGGAAACCTGAGGCAGAAAGATCACAAGTTTGAGGCCAGCCTAAAGAACTTAGGGAGACTCTGTCTCAAAAAATAAAAAGGGCTGGGGATATAGCTCAGTGGTACAGTGCCACTGGGTTCAATCTACAGTACAGGGTGGGGGGAGGGGGGACACACACCAGTTCTAATCATCCTGAAATATTATTTCCAATTCCTCTATGTCCCTTTAAACAACCTTTTTTCTTACTTGGTGAGGTTAGCTTTCCCACGAGACTCACGAACTTGTGCCAGTAGAAGATCTGGACATAACTTCTTAGCATCATCTGCCCACATGTTTCTAGTAACCCCAAATGCACGAGCTTCGTAACTCACTGCAATTATTCTAAGGTTTAAAAAAAAAAAAAAAGGAAACAACAACAAAAAAATTACATGATCACAAGCAAAAACAATGACACTTAACAGGAATATACTATGAATACATAAAATTAGAAGAAATGTTTTGATCACAGGTGTCACCACTCTTTCACCAAACATAGCAGTTCAGAAACCTCAAAAATAAGACCTATCACAGCACTGTTATATGTCTATAGATTAAAAACCAGTAACAAGGGGCTGGGGCTGAGGCTGAGCAGTAGAGCGCTCGCCTTACACATGTGAGACCCTGAGTTTGATCCTCAGCACTACATAAAAAATAATAAGTGAAATAAAGGTATTGTATCCAACTACAATTAAAAAAATGAATATTTAAAAAAAATAGTAACAAGGGGCTGGGGTTGTGGCTCAGTGGTTGAGCGCTCACCTAGCATGTGCAAGATGCTGGGTTCGATCCTCAGCACCACATAAAAATAAATAAATAAAAGAATTGTATTGTGTCCAACTACAACTAAAAAAAAAATTAAAAAAAGAAAAAAGTAACAATGATACATACCCACCACCTTTCCATGATTTGTACTGTACGACTGCACAGGGTTTATTCCTTAAATGAGGATTTTGTCGCTGCTCCACTTGAACAAAAAAACAGTCCATGTCCACCAGAGCAACCACTCGATCCTGTCCTGTAGTCATTTTTTCTGTAAGACAACGATTTATGAACAGAAAGATATCTAATTTAAAATGTCAGGGCAAACTATATTTCCATTCCTTTATTGGTAAGTTACCATCAATCTACCTACATGTTTAGTATCATCTGCCCATGTTTCTAGTGACCCCAAATGCATAAGCTTCATAAGTCACTACAATAATTCTAAGAAAAAAAATAGGGAAAAATATTTCATGATCACAAGCAAGAATGATTAAAAATTTAATAGGAATAGGCACAGGAGGTATGGGAATTAGAATAAAGGAAATGCATTTTCATATATTGCTGGCATGAGAATAAATTAGTACAATTTTATGAAAGTAATAGTAAAAGCTTTAAAAACACTCTTCTTCAAAACATTTCACTGAACATTTCACCAAGACACAAAATAGCCAATAGATGCATAAAAATGGACTTAGCATCCTTAGTCACGGGGAAATGCAAATTAAAACCATAGTATATGTCACTTAAGAAAAAAGGCAACAGTGATCTAGTTGACAGACAGATCTGAAGTATAAGTTTAGGGAAAAGAAAAGGAGAACATGTATATATAGCCAGTCCTCAATATCTTGAGTGTCCCACATCAGCCAATACTCTGGGGAAAAAAATGTGTAGTGAACATGTACAAACTTTATTCCTATAATTCTCTAAGCATTATGGTACAATACTTACATTGTGTTAGGGATTATAAGGAATCTAGAGATGATTTAAAGTATTTGGGAGGGACTCTGGGTGTTGCTCAGTGGTAAGAGCATTTGCCTAATATTCTGTAGACCGTGGGTCCAATCTCCAGCATCAGTAGATTTTGGTATCTTGGCCAAGGAATGGAGAGGGAGCATGTCTTGGAATCAATCCTCTTGTGGATACTGAGGGACAACTGTATAACATCATAGCATTCGTGTAAATTTTTTTTAAAAAATATTTTTTAGTTGTAGTTGGACACAATATCTTTATTCATTTTTATGTGGTGCTGAGGATTGAACCCAGTGCCTCACACGTACGAGGCGGGTGCTCTACCTCTGAGCTATGGCCCCAGCCCTTGTGTAAATTTTTTAAAGTTTTTATTTCAAAATACTTTTGTACAAAAATAGTAGGGTTCTTTCACACTGTTTCCTCTAGTGTCAACATTTTACTTAGCACTATTATCAAAATTAAAAAACAAACACTACTTAACCACCAACTCAGCTGAACACAGTGGCACACACCTGTAATACCAGCTACTGGGAAGGCTGAGGTAGGAGGATCACAAATTGGAGGCCAGCTAGACAATTTAGTGAGGCCCTGTCTCAAAATGAAAAGTAAAAACACTAACTCAACTACGTACTTATTTGGATTTCACTGGTATTTCCACCAATGTCTTTTTTTTGTTGTTGTTGTTTCAGGATGCAATATAGATCTTACAGTGCATTTAGTCATCACATCTCCTATTCTACTCTTCCTTAATGCTTTTTTTGTTTTTTAGTACTGGGGATTGAACTCAGGGACACTCAACTACTGAGCCACATTCTCAGCCCTGTTTTGTATTTTATTTAGAGACAGGGCAGCAAACATACCCTATGTGAAAATATAACTATACCACCAGTGGGTTTCATCACGTAAAACCAGAAGAATGAGAAATTATACTGCATCTATATTTGATGTATCAAAATACATTCTACTGACATGTATAACTAATTAGAATAAAAAAATTAACCTTCACCTTGAAAAAAGGTACCCTGCAACTATTTTATATATATTTTTTTATTTATTTAGACTCTATTGCTTAGTGCCTCGCTGTTGCTGAGGCTGACTTTGAACCTACGCTCCACCTGTCTTGGCCTCTGAGCTGAGCCGCTGGGATTACAGGCCACTGAGCTCAGCACAACCATAAACCTTTTGATGAGTACTGGCTAGTTATTTTTTTATATATATAATTTTATTTGGTGCTAAGTATCAAACTCAGTGCCTAGGCAAGCACTCTACCACTGAGTTACAACCCCAGCCCAGCTGGCTAGTTGTTTTGAGAATGTCAATTTGTGTTTGTCTAACATTTTCTCATGATTGAGATCATGCATTTTTGGCGAGAATATCAAAAAGCGATGATCTTTTCTCAGTGCATCACATGGAAGAGAGGTTATGCTGTCAATATATCTTCTTACTGGTGATGTTAACCATGATAAGATGGTGTATATCAGGTTTCTCCTGTAAAGTTACTATTTTTCCTTTTGTAACTAATAACTATCTTGGAAGAAGATACTTTGATACCATGTAAATATTCTGTTTTTCTTTATACTTTCAACCACTGAGCAAACTATCAGTGGATCCCACCTACAACAATTACTTTGTAGTGTTCTAATGATGATTTTTCTATTCATGCAAATTTTTGACCACACTTCATGGACAAAGGTATGAGTAGTAGAAAAATAACTTTACATATTTAAGAGTGGACATTAGGAGCTGGGGTTGTGGCTCAGTGGTAGAGCACTTGCCTAGCATGTGTGAGGCACTGGGTTCAATTATCAGCACCACATATAAACAGGTAAAGGACCATCAATAACTAATAATTTTTTTTAAAAAAGAGTGAATACTAATGTTATTTAACTGTTTATTTAACGTTGTTAGCAATATTAGTAGAAGGAATATCATCTGCAGCTCCCAAATTTTGCTTATATTGGAATCACCTGGGAACCTTTAACTATTCTCAAATCTGACACTCTTGACTACTAGACATCCTAATGTAATTAGTATAGATACAATTTAGGAATCATGATTTTTAAAAGCCCTACAGATAATTCTAATATACAGCAGAGCTGGGAACAAATAGTCTAATGTAAATAAGGTATTTACAGAAACACCAGAAAAGCATGATTTAAATATGAGAAACAGGTTATACAGTTGAGTAAGCACCCAACTGTATTCTAAAAAGGTTTTTAAAAATTAACAATGAATCACGTGAATAGAGAGCCTACAGAATAGGACAAAATCTTTACCACATGCACCTCCAATAGAGCATTAATCTCTAAGATATATAAAGAACTCAAAAAACACACAAAAAAACAAGTAACCCAATCAAAAAATGGGCAAAAGAACTCAATACACATTTCAAAGAATGCAATCGATCAACAAATACACAAAAAATTGTTCAACATCTTTAGCAATTAGAGAAATGCAAATCAAAACTCCTCTAAGATTTCATCTCATCCCAGTCAGAATGGCAATTATCAAGAACACAAGTAACAATAAATGTTGACAAGGATATAGGAGAAAAGGTACATTCATACATTGCTGGTGGGACTGCAAAATGGTGCAACCCATTATGGAAAGAAGTATGGAGATGCCTCAAAAAAACTTGGAATGGAACCAAGATTTTACCCAGCTATCTCCCTCCCCAGTTTATACCCAAAGAACTTAAAATCAGCATATTACAGCAATTCAGCCACATCATTGTATATAGCAGCTCAATTCACAAATAGCTAAACTATGGAATCAATCTAATGTGTGCTTAACAGATGAATGGATGAAGAAAAATGTGAGATTCATATATACATGGAATATTACTCAGCCTTAAAGAATAAAATTAGGCCATTTGCCAGTAAATGGATGGAGCTGGAGAATATCATGCTTAGCAAAATAAGCCAATCCAAAGACTGAATGTTTTCTCTGATATGGGATGCTAATTCACAATAAGGGGTGGGGGGCTGGGGAAGAATAGAGTTACTTTAGTTTAGGTAGAGGAGAGTGAAGGGAGGGAGGGGGTATGGAGGTAGGAAGGATAGTAGAATTAGTCAGACTTGTTACCCTATGTGTATTTATAACTATATCACAAGTGGGCTTCTACCTCAAATACAACCAGAAGAATGAGAAATTATATTGCATCTACATATGATGTATCAAAGTGCATTCTACTGACATGTATAACTAATTAGAATAAAAAAATTAATCTTCACCTTGAAAAAAAGTACCATGCAACTACAAAGCTGGATGGCTAGTGGAAAGAAAACACATATTTAAGAAAATCAGAATATTCAAGGAATAACTTGTAAATTCCAATCTACCACTCGCCTAAAACAGAATGTGATAGTTTAAACATTCATAAGTTAAAAACCACAACATGCCAGAAATTCCTTTCTTCTGAAGTGGCTTTTCTGCAGTACTAAAACAGATAATGCCAGAAAATAGTAAATGCATTGTCACAAAGGACAACGACTATGCAGGGTAAGCACCATATTAAATACAAACACCAAAAGTGAAAGAAGAAGCAGTGATTTAAAGGACAGCAAACATTTGCCAAGCACAAAAATCACACACACAAAAATATTCAGACTGACAGATAGTAAATCAATAGAGGTTTCTAATTTACGTATTTACTGGAAAAAAGCAAGAGTTTTGCAAAGATGGAAATGAACACAATTCTAGCAAAACCCTGCTTTCAGATAAGGATTATACTACTTTGAAATAAGATACAGCATTCGGCAAATTACCAAACTGCAGGAATATTCAATCTTTACTATCTTGATTTATCCCAATCTACATAAAACAATTTTGTAGCTGATCGAGCAGTAACACATCCAGGAAAAGAGCTCAAATGAAGGGGAAGATTTAAGAGGCATACGGGAAAGTATCATTTTTTTCCTACAAGAAAAATCTCCTTAGAGGCAATCTCGCGGTCTTTTCTCTCAGTTGGCATGTTTTCTTTTTCACATAATTTCAGGGCAATGAGTCATCAGTCAAATCATAAAACCAATAGCCAAAGCAACGTGAAAAGTCTGAACATCGACACCGCACGGTTCTAAATATTCTTACCAAGGCGACACTTGGCAAAACTGCCAACGGGTCGGGTGCGGAGGCACACGCCTATAATCCCAGCAGTTCGGAAGGCTGAGACAGGAGAATCGCGACTTCAAGGCCAGCCTCAGTAATGGCGAGGTGCTAAGCAGCTCAGTACCTGTCTCTGAGTAAAATACAAAATAGGGCTGGGGATGTGGCTCAGTGGTCGAGTACAATGAGTTCAATCCCCCGTACCAAAAACAAAACAAAAAAAAAACTTGCCAACGGAAGCCACGGTTGCGGGAGATCAGTGTCCGCTGGATGGAAAACGAAGAGGTCTAGAGCAGGCCAGTCGGTTTCACGATTTATTTCCCGTGACGATGAAGAATAGGCGCAGAAATCCCAAAGAATCTCCCAAAGGGCTTCGCGTTAGTCTGTTAACCCAGCCGACTAAAGTCCGACAGCGCGCGCGACTCAAGGGGCCGTTGAGGCGCCTGCGCAGCAGGGTCCTTCCGTCTCTCGCTCCACCCCCCAGGAGCAACCGTCACAAGAGAGCCGCCACTTCCGTGGGCGCGTGCGCAGTGGCAGATCGGGAGCGTGCGCAGCGCCTGGTCCTCCCCGGCTGTACATTCTGCTGCTCACGTTCCTCCTCCCGCTTCCCACCCTCCCAGCCCGCCGCGGCCCGGTTCCAACGTGTGGTCCCGCGAAGGGAGCGGTCCGTGCCTCGTGCTCCCGGGACGGCCGTAGTGTGCGCTCGCGGCGCGTGGCGTTAGCCATGGCGATGGATCAAGTGAACGCTCTGTGCGAGCAGCTGGTGAAAGCGGTGACCGTCATGATGGACCCCAGCTCCACCCAGCGCTACCGGCTGGAAGCCCTCAAGGTAGCTGGGGTCCCAGCGTCCTGGGCCCGCCCTGAGACCCTCCCCTAGACTGGCCGCCCCGGTGCGGCCCCTAAATCAGGTTGTCTCCAGCCCACGAGGCCTCTGGAACTCCCTTCCAACTCCCGAGGGCCTTCCCCTCGCGGCCCAGCTCAGGTCTTCCACCCCCGCTTCTGCACTCGCGCGCTTGCCCTGCGCCTCGGACTCTAGTCGCTTCTTATCCCAGCCTCCACGTCTCACTGTCCTTGTCTTCTTCCTTCCTCACTTTTTACTCTTGATGCACCAGGACTCCTTCGCCACGGACTCATATTCAACCTTCAATCCCCATATCCCTGGCTTTCCCGAGGCGCACGTGCAGATTCCGCCCCCACGCCACCTTCAATCTTTATGGTCTTCCTGCTAACCCGCTCACCTGACCTTTCCTAATCGACCGCCAGTCTCCCCGAATGCCCTTTACTTATATTAGAGCCTTACATTTATCTCACTGTCCCATCTGTGTTGGGCATTTCTGGTCTTATTCTCCCAGTCCTCCCATATTTTCTAGTGTGTGGTATTCATAGGCTATTTTGCGCAAAGATGAACTTACACCACTTGCTTTGCATTTTTACAAGGCCTTTTTGGTTTCCTGAAAGCAGTTTTCTTGAGATCCGGATGCTCTGCTCAGGAGACTGATTCAAGTGTTGCAATTTGGAAGCTGACACAAACGGTGATGCTAATACAATAGAGCTCCATTAAACAATGTATGTAAGCTGTGAGAAATGACTGTTTAGGAGAAAGTACTCATACATGTTTTAGATCATATAACTTCTCAGAATGAGCACCCCTTGGAGGAAACTTTACTATATGTATGCCACAGGGTTTGGAATCAGAATTATTTGAGTTTTGTTTTTTATTAGGAAATATTTTAAAATTAGAATACTATAGTGATCTTTATGTGCCTATCATCTAATTCAGCTGGGATATGGATTTTGCCACCCTTCTCTTTATACCTCCCTCCCCCCCCAAGTTTTTAAAGCAAATTCTAGAAATTGTCGTTCTGTCCCTAAGAGTGTATCTCTTAACAATTTTTTATCCCTTTAGGTAGTTTCTTTTCGGACTTAGGCTACTGTTGACCACAGCATGGCAAATCTAGAACCATCAAAGTAGAAGGAATGTTTTACCAGTTCTTTATTAATATAATATCAATCTAGTTTATTCTTTTAGTATGATATCTATATAGGTTTTTGCAACTTTAAAAAGCAGCTAATTTTGGAGTTTTTAATATTTTTTGGTCCCTATCCTCTTTGACCTCCCAAAAGAAATACTAACTTTTCTTCTTTCAGTTTTGTGAAGAATTTAAAGAAAAGTGCCCTATCTGTGTCCCCTGTGGCTTGAGGTTGGCTGAGAAAACACAAATTGCCATCATCAGACATTTTGGTCTTCAAATCCTGGAACATGTTGTCAAGTAAGGAGCTCTTGGTCATTGCCACTAAAGTCTGTGAGAAAGCAAGTCTTTCTTATACTATAGATGCTTTTTAGACAGTAGAAAAGAGCAATCCCCAGGAAGAAAAGAATGATTGCCACAACATTCTCAGGAGCACTCATTTAGGACTTTTAACCTTTTTCCTCTTGAGTTTCTTCATCTGTGTAAAAGGTGTGGTACATACAAAGCATTCAACAAGCATTAGTTGATAGCTACTACTCCATTTGTCTACATTTATTGAACTCTTAGTATATGCTAGCAGATCTCAAGGCCTTTGTAGAATAATTCAGTAGGTAGGTAAATAAATCTCTGATTAGACAATGTCTTTTTTTGGTCATTCATTCATTTGTTTATTTGTTTACTTTGGCACATGCAAAATAGGATTGTATGAGGATAACCGAAAACCTCTCTCCTAACTTGTGTCTCCTACCTTCAACACCTATCTGAAGAGTTAGCTTTTAAGACTTAGCTAGGGGCTGGGGATGTGGCTCAAGTGGTAGCTTGCTCGCCTGGCATGCATACGGCCCGGGTTCGATCCTCAGCACCACGTACAGACAAAGATGCTGTGTCCGCCAAATACTGAAAAATAAATATTAAAGTTCTCTCTCTCTCTCCCTCTAAAAAAAAAAAAAAAAAAAAGACTTAGCCAGTTTCTGAAATTGTACTATAAATTTGTACAATAATTGTACTATAAACCAACATAAGAGAAGTAGTAATATCAAGATTATATTTTCTTTTGTGGGGAGGCAGTTATTGTGAATTGACCCAGGGAAACTTAACCACTGAACCGCATCCCCAGCCTTTTTTTGTATTGTATTTACAGACAGGGTCTTTCTGAATTGCTTAGGGCCTTGCTAAGTTGCTGAGGCTGGTTTTGAACTTGCTGTCCTCCTGCCTCAGCCTCCCAAACCACAGAGATTACAGGCATTCACCACCATGCCAAGCTCAAAATTATATTTTCTGAGAAGCAAATATTTTGTTAGAGTTGCTCTAGATGGGTAGTTTCTTTTGGCCTATCAATAAAATCTTGGGAAAAAGCTAATTTGTGGCACACATCCTGTTAGGATTCTAATTAATGGACCACAGCATGAATAAAACCTTTTCCCAAGACTTTTTCTATTATATTTTGGTTAATTGTGGGCTGTTTTTGTCCATTCTCTGAAGGACACAAAAATCAAAATAAAATTTGATGAAATCTCCAGCATAATTGAATGCAGGAATCAAAGTTATTCTTTTGTGAAGACTCCTAATAAGGTTCTGTTTATTTTATGCATTTTGGTGGCCAGGTTTCGGTGGAACAGCATGTCTCGATTAGAGAAGGTCTATCTGAAGAACAGTGTCATGGAGCTGATCGCAAATGTAAGGAAAGGATGGGTGGGAAAATGTAATTTCTTTTACACAATGTTCATATAAAAATTTACTGGTTCAAATAGTAGAATGTTAACGATTACCTGCAGGCATCACAAAAATGGTAATTCATCACATTTATCTTACTAGATTTAATTAATCACCCTTATTTTGACTTCTTTTTTAAAATTATAAAGACAAAGCAAAGAAGGTAAACAAATGGATGAATAATGTTAAATCTAAGTGGGACTGAAACACTCTCTACTTTGTTTCCTTCCATCCAAATTCAACCATGATGTGATACTAGTGATGAAAAACATGTAGATAGAATTTGTTTCAAAATAGTTGTAGTTAAACCCAATACCTTTATTTTATTTTTATGTAGTGCTGAGGATCGAACCCAGCACCTCGCACATGCTAGGTTAGGTGAGCGCTCTACCACTGAGCTACAACCCCAGCCCCATAGCCTTTTATTCTTTTTTTTTTTTTGGTGTGGGGGTTTATGGTACTGGGGATTTGGATCCAAGGGCATTTGAACTGCTGAGCTACATTCCCAGTTGTTTTTTTATATTTTTTTGTTTTGAGACAGGGTCTTGCTAACTTGCTGAGGGTCTTAACTAAGTTGCTGAGGCTGGCCTCAAAGTTGTGATCTTCCTGCCTCAGCTTCTTGCATCACTGGAATTATGGGTGTGTAGCATCATGCCCAGCTTTTTCTTTTTTTTAAACAAAGGGTATGAAATAATTCCTACCCCTCCCCTTTTATGACATTAATGGGGAAAAAAATGTCCTTCAAAAAAAATTTTTTTTTTTGAGAGAGAGAGAATTTTTAATATTTATTTTCTAGTTCTCAGCGGACACAACATCTTTGTTGGTATGTGGTGCTGAGGATCGAACCCAGGCCGCACGCATGCCAGGCGAGCGCGCTACCAACTGAGCCACATTCCCAGCCCCAAATATTTATTTATTTATGTATCTTAAGTTGGATACATTAGTTTGTTTTTATGTGGTGCTGAGGATCGAACCCAGTGCCTCATGCATGCTAGTCGTGCACTCTACCACTGAGCCACCACTCCAGCCCTCCTTCAAATTTTTTAATTTAGACCGGTGTGGAGGCATATACCTAAAATCCCACTCACTGAAGTAGGCTGTTGGATTGCAAGTTTAAGTCCAACTTCGGCAACTTAGCTAGACCCCATCTCAAAACTAAAAAGGCTGGCAATATAGCTCAGTGGTAGATCATCCCTGGTTTAATCCCTAGTACTAAAAAACAAAACAAAACATGAATTAATTCAGCTATTTTGTTCATTCTGGGGAGACAAAGTCATAATTCATTAGTTTTGACATCAAACTTCATACCAATAATAATTTTTCTATATTTTCTAATACTAGGATTATAGGAAAAACAGTCAATTGCTCTTCCATACCCTCCCATTTTTATCAACCTCTCAAGTATACACCTTATTTCTAAACTCTTCCACCCTGACCCTCATTAAAAAAT